CACACACACACACAGAGAGAGATTTGTGATAGTTTGACAGCCCCTGGCTGAGACAACACTACATTTTGTGTTATGAGAATGTGTGTGTGTGTGTGTGTGTGTGTATCCCTCCATGTGTATGACCCTCCTCTAATGAATGTGCTTCAGGTAAAAGCTGTCACCCAGGAGAGGGAGTCTGTTGTGTCCCCACTGACCATCACCGCTGAGAGCGTCACCTCAGCAACCACAACTCAAGTTACCAAGGTAACACCTTATCTGTTCCCATGGCTACAGTTTAATGACTGGAGCTTGGAGTCAGCCCACCACATCTGTGTCTTATGGCACACTCCTAAATATGTCTCATCCCTCCTTGTCGACATGTTGGAGTAGCTGGTCAAATAAAGATTAATAGATGTAAAAAATTCGATTTTTTATTGACTTATTGACTATTGAAGGAAAAAAGGTTTAAGATTCAGTTGCCACACAGTGTAATGTTACAATTTAATAAACTACAATATATTTACATTCATTTAATTCAACATCTTGCTGTTTTTTTTTCTAGACATTTAAGTACAACATCTCAGTTTCTCTGTTACGAGTTAGACACTGTAAAACAACAGATTCAATCCGTTTCCACTTCATGAAAGATTTTATATTTGTTGTTGTGAACAATAATTGTCTTAACTAAGAAAATTATCTGGTGCACAAAGATAAACTTGGTGTGTCTGAAGACAAAGAATCGATACAGAAACACCACAGTGATGAGTTTTTTGCAACACAGATGGAGATACAAATACAATAAAAACAATGGTACCTTTGATTACCATGTTTGTCATCCGTAGAGTGGGATTCTTAATTGCTGGGAATGAGCAAATGATTCATTAATTGTCTTTCTGTATGCATTCTGCAGACTGTGAAAGGGGGCTACTCAGAGACCAGGATTGAGAAAAGGATTATAATCACAGGAGACGATGATGTGGACCAGCATCAGGTAAGTTTTACAGAACTACTGGAACAACTGGCACTGTATGCTCAATAAGTCATAAGGCACAGAAAGCTTATATGTAAGGTTTATGACCCATGATGCTTTATATCCCCAGGCACTCGCTATGGCGATCCAAGAGGCCAAGCAGCAGCATCCCGACATGCTGGTGACAAAAGCAGTGGTTATCAGGGAAACAGAGTCTCCCACTGAGGAGCTGCAGCAGAGAGCAGAGGTATGTGACTGTGATAGTGTTGACAGTCTGGTCATGTGATCAGAGTGCAGGTTACAAGATGACTATGGATCAATGGATCAATTACTGAACGGGGTCAGGGGCCCTTGGGCTAGAGCCACACTTTTAAGTGACTATTAGACATTTCTTGTTACAATGTCAATCGAGCTACAAAGTACAAAGAGAAGAAAAATGACTACATAAGAGATGCAGAATAGACTAAAAATACCACAAAGACATGCACAATGACTACAAGGATGGAAGAAAATGATCCCAAAACGACAAAAAAACACCACAAAAAAAAGAAAAACACCACAAAGAGACCCACACTGACTATAAGGACACAAAACAAATACAAAGACTCAAAACGATCACAAAGATTCTTTCACTCTGGGGGTCTTACTCCTATGTAGGCTAATTGGGGGGCCTTTTAGATGTAAGTAACTAGGAGCCCATTGTCTCATTTCTATCATGTTCGTGTGTAATGACAGATCTGTGTGCTGTTGTCTCGTTGCAGTCCTGATTGGTCATGGTGGCTCCTGGGACAGTACGCCACCAACCGGACGTGAGGACTATCTACCCCGCCTGTGTACACACCAACACGAGAACAGACTGCATTCCATGAAGCAGTAGACATCCACTCCTGTCCCTTTAGACAAACCAACTGTGACTCAGCCTCTCACCAGACCCGGCCTCCCGTCCTGTCCCGGCCCCGTCCTAGCCCTCCACCTCCTTATGGAACAGGAACCGTCTTCTATTGGATGATTTACCACTTGGTGGAGTGATGCAATATTAAAAGTGAAACCCGGTCACATCTTTTACTGTTTGAATTCACCTCTGTAAGAGTCATTTGAGACTTTACTTGCATATTATTTCATTATTTAATCAAATACATTTTGACTCCTTTAGACCCTGGGGGTCATTTGTATCAAAGAGTTTTCAACCCCAAACTCCCCCCAGCCCCAATACCCTTTCCTCACAAATTACGTCCCAAACATGGGCCATGTGCTACTGTCACATATGAAATGAATACGATATAGGAGCAGGGGAGGGTTGAGTAAAAGGATGGGGGCCGTGCTGGTGGTGGAGGGGTGGGAAGGGGAGGTTGGTGCCAAGTGGCGTGAGGCAGCCTTTTGCTCGTTGTTGCCACCTCCTGGTTGTGACACCTTCAGTATAATCAACAGCTGTCTTATTAGCTTTTTACATTTTTATCTATAGAGGGTCTAATTTATGTCCTGTGTTCGCTTGTTTATGAAATATGTATAATATCAGATGATTATAATCTGCATGATTCAATTACAAAATAGCAGAGGGAATGAAAAAAGTAAAAAATACACAGACATGTCCACATTTGAAATCCATAAGAAGCTCTGACATGATGGGACTGAGCACGTGTGGAGAAACTGTAAACACCACTGCACCACTGAGTAGTGGACACACAGTGATCTTGATGGACTCTGCTGAAGAAGGACAGTTGTGTAACACTTCAGCTGGCACTCAGCTTTGGTCCCAGTCTCCAACGTACAAACATCACTGTCCTCGTCCCGTTCCCCCCCGCTCACTGTTACCGTTTTCATTTTGGTGTCAACTCGCCATCTGCATAAAGAAACGCTGGTCACACGTTTTGGGCACAGTTATAGGATTTTTAGAGAAATTTTAATATAAATAATGTTTTATCTAATTTTAAAAGTTTAAAAAATGTGATGATATGTTTCCATTTGTTTTTTCCTTGATTTTACTGACTTCCATCATAAAACAGAGTTTATTTGTTATTCTTGTGTTTTAGGACATTTCAGTCATCATGTGTGAACATGCTGGAACCTCTCTCTGAAAGAGCGTTGTTTTTTTTGTGCTTTTACTTTGCTCGATGCTGCGTTCCACTGGAGATCTTAAACTTAGATCTCACCCAAGTTAGAAACAAGTTTGACTTTGTGAAGATGTGATGCAATGAAGAGAAATACATTGAACTGGGGAACGGGTCTTTGGTTATTAACAATCTTGACAATAATCAATATTAGCATCATATCCATTCCTAGAACCTGATATAATAGATATGATAGATTTTTTTGACAGTGCAACGAACTGTAAATATTGACATATTATGATGGCAGACATGTTAGCAAACAGATGTCTGTTTAAATATTCAGCAAACACGGAACAACATTAGTATTCAAGAATGGAGTCATTTTTCCTGCCACCTGGTGAATGTAAGTCCAATATTCACTCTTTTTAGCGAAATATTTAGCTGCTAAATTCTCCACTATGTCCACCACTAAGTTGCTTACTTTGTCTGCAGTGTGGTGCTGACTAGAGTGACCCAAACCAGTAAAGTTGCGGGCCGTAAAAAAAACAAAACAATGCGCTCAAGGTAGTGTTTTAGCCTCTTAGGCTAAGTGCTGAGGGAAACCACAGAGTCAGGTGGTAACTCGCTGTGGGTTCGTTGCCAACAGCAACACCTTTCACATTATACAAAGTCATATGATTCATTTCTATTGTAAAATATTTATCATAGCGGCTTCAATCAGCAAGTGATGTTAGATTTTCCACTTTTGAATAATATGTGCATGTTCACAAACACTGCCTGAAATGTTCAAAACCACAAGATTAACATGGGTACTGTTTTGTTTTTTGTTGGATTAACTCTTTTAAGTTATGGTGTATGAGTTTGTAATTGTATTTATAGGAGTGGTGAATGTGAGGCCTGTGCTTTTCCTCCCCGATCCCCTTTATAGACAAAGCCGAGACTCATAGTGTGACACCCATGAAGCGCCGTCTACCCACAACAACGTTGGCTGTCACATAACATATATCCTGGATGACCTTTAATACTATACTATGCATCATACGTACGAATCCCTCTGATGGAGCCTGACCCATGTTAGACGTGTTGCCGTCATTGTTAACTTTGTGCTACTGTTAACTGAAGCAGTGAAGCGCACTGCTTGTGAGATTTGCAATAAGCAGCCATTATTCTTATCCTCTGTCCTCTAAAGGGAGAAAACTGTGAACTCTCATGCGTACCGAATCTTAACCAAAACCTATAACACAGAGTTATTGATATTCAAAAGAGCTTATCCAACATTCGTGACCATGGCTTTGTCGCCCTCGTCGTCTAACCCTCCCATCCCCTGACTTGAAACTGTCGACCTGCTGTTAATGTGTCTGAGGAAACAAGAGATTCCAAACTGATTATTTGTATGTTCTATTTTGCTCTGTTTTATGTTTTTTTTTTGGTCACATGACACTGGACTGTTGTGAAGGCACTTGCTTGCAGTGATAGCAGCTCATATACTGTACACTGTTGGGAAAAATGACCTGTCTTTGCTGACACACTACTGATGGAAGAGGAACGACTGTAGGCATCGGGAGAGAAGCTGTGTGCTGTGGGCGAGGTGGTGAGTTGAAGGATGGAGGGGCTGTATTTATATATAAAATTTCCATACTCCTGTGTATTATCTTGTAAACTATGTAGAAATTAAGAGGAGCCAGGAATGTGTTTTTAAGTTCAAGGGATGAGGCAGTAAGTATAGTCCGAAGGACGGCAGTGCCATGAATGGGTGCCTTATGTTTGGAGTGGTGGGTTATGGGAGCAGGAGTTATCAGTGCCCTGCTGAATGTGCTGTTAATCACCACGAGGCAGATGTAGAAACGACCTCTCCTATCAGTCCAAGGTGAAGAGGAGCTGTCATTGAAGTGAATTACTGTCTTGTAAAGAATGTGACATTGAGTGTATTGACAAAAGAAGTGTCTCTGAATCCAGACTGTTGGTCCTCAGCAAGAGGAAAACATTTATTGGCCCCATTAACGTAGAAAAAAAACAGCATAGAACAGATTATGGATATGAGCTTTTTTTTTTCTCCGTGAAGAGCATCGAACTGCTCCCTGTTTAGCCTCCACCTTCAATTCTCCACTGCCTTTTGCTCTACATTCCCCTAGTGCTTGGTGGTGTGTATTTGCTGTATTTGCATTCAGTCTAAATGGAAAACATACATGCATAAATAAATGTCTCAGTATGATTCAAACACTGTCTCTGATTCTGAAAAGAGGGGAGAGGGATTTCTCTTTGACTTCTATAACGGAGAAGTGAAACTTGGGAAAATGTATTCTTGTTTTTACTTATTTATGTGGCTTTTTCATACATAAATAATTTAATCATATGTAATAAACAGTTGTTTTTTGTAATATATGGATGGATGGCTGGATGGATTCTTATTGTAGTGAAGAAAAAGCAAAATTACCTTGTTTTGTATTGCCATCTTGTGGCCGAATTCAGCATATAAACTTTAACTGGACTGAAGTTAATTGTATTGTAATTGTACTCTTAGTGCCATCTAGTGTATTTCCTGCAACCAACAAACTTCACTCAAAACATACATTTATAGAAAATGCCATTGATTTACAGCATTTATATGGCATTAAATGAATGTTATAACAGAAAATATACAGAAGATTGACTACTTTGACCTCTATTCTTTAAAGGAACTTTTCTCAGTTTACTAGACATGAGGAATGCTACAAAGCCTTTGCAAAGGCTTTGTCTTCTGGAGGACCTTCGTCAAGTCCGAGAAAATACTCCCTTATGTATCATAGTGATGTCATAGGGTTTTGAGACTGCACATTTTTGTCAGAAAGCCTGTTACAAAGATGGTACAATGTTGTGTTATGGGAAATGTAGGATCCAGTGTTTTTGGAACTTAATTCAGGACTAAAAGTTGGGACGTACAATACTAAATGAATGGAATACACATTATAATCTATGAAATAAAGATATATAAATAATAATGTATGTAGCCCCCTTTAATTGATAAATCCTCATATTTTGTGTCATTCGATTAAATTGTATTCTGAACAAATGCCAAGAAGAAGAAGAATACTCCTATATGTCAGTTCTCACATAGGTCATATGTATTGACGGACAGACCAACAGAGCTTGACATAGTTCTATAAATCAATAAACTTTATTAACACAGTATAAACAACAAACAGCAACAGAGGAAACCCTCATCTAGAGCATATATGGACAGAAGACCCAGTACATCTCAGAGGGCTGACTGAGACAGAAGCATAGACATGGGGCTGACCATGGTTCAGAGTTCATGGTACAAGCACAGTATACACAAACCTATCAGATGCATGAATCTTGCATGTTTCTAAAGCCATTCAGTCGGTTTGCAGATGGACCGAAGAGAGAGGACAAAGTACAGTCATGCTGAGCAACAGTTAGCTACAGTATGAAACAGAGTCATTACATAAAAACCAAGTAAATCATCTCTTTAGAAAGGTTCTTTTATATAAATGATTCGAAGTGTACAAAACAGTATATTACACATTTCTTGATGCATGATTCTGAGCAAGACCCAGTAGCCTACAGTACACTTCCCTTCAAAGTACAAACTACTTAACTGGATTACAAGCTACATACAGACTGCACTGTACCTCTGTAGCACAGCACTCCCACATGGCATCAGGAGACTATGGGAAAAGGAAACGATCAGCAGCATCGTCTTTTATTAAGAATACACACCTATAAAAATGCACCAGGCCCTCGTATATTGCCAATATCCCATGCGAAACAGCAGAATGCAATTCAAACTAACCTTGCTAACCTCAAAATTGCAAAAAGGATGCTGGCCCGCCCCCTGCCCCTCCCCCAAATCCTGACCACAAACAATATTTATCAACACAGCAGCATGTAAACATCACCGCGGCTGCTTCATAGTTCTATGTTTCTAATGTTTTTGATATACATATGATAAGTTAAGGCTCTTTAAGGACCTGAGGATTTTGAACATATGATGAGGCACACAGAAGGCAAAGAATAGTTCTAGACACAGGGCTAACTGAAAGAATGAGGAGCATGAGACAGCCACAAGGGTGGTCCGGTCACCAGTGCAGTTCAATGGCCATGGTCGAGGAACCCAGGGGAGATGCTCTGCAGAACAGCATGGTGCTATTTCTGGTAACAAGCTCGGTAACTATCACATGAATGGCTTCATGGACTCCATCGACTTTTTGCGAGTTCTTGGTCACCTTCCCGCAAAGTATAAAGGTGTGGGATTTTTCTCTTTGTTTTCATGCCATATGTACACTGAATGGGTTACTGATCACTGTAATCATCCCAACATAATGGCTGTGAAGCGATCCCTTCTCAGTGCAATTTTAAAGTAACCTACAGTCCTCCTTATGTGCAAAATTACAGCTAATAGTATCAGTAATCAAAAGTATCTTTGTGGTGGTGTAGGTTCACTGCCAGTGTTTTATCTTAGCAACACATATACAGGGGTCTCACAGGATGTAAAAGAACAGAACTTCGGGAGATAGCTACCGGATGTAGCTAACACATATTAGCTTAAGATGGATTTTAGAAGGCTTTTTTGCACAGAACAAGGACTGTGGATTTTGTCCCCCATCTTAGCAACGTGGTCATACTGCGAAGGGCGAGCATGGACAGCAGGAATGATTGCAACAGCTCATAACCAGCGTACATATGGTATGTGAGCATTGCATGAAGACAGACTTGACAAAAGGTCCTAACCAATCCTTTACGTAATTTGTGCCGGTTAGCATTAACTAAAAGTTAATATTGTTTTTAATTCTGCATTTTATGCAAACTTCATGACATATCAAAACAAGTCCACCTCACTAGTGAAATCCTTTGTGAATTGACTTTAACTGGCTAATTTGTCCAGTTTGCTTATTGTAATGTTAGCATACTGTCTGGAGACAGATGATTTTAAATGCTAATCCCCTCTTCACATACAGTACTTGGTAAGGTGACCAAGAATGACAAACACCCAACATGTCCGTGCAGTCCTTTGAGTGAGAGATTGCAGAAACAGAAATGCAGAGATGTGACAGATAACAGTTAATAGTTCATTCACTTGAAGAAAAAAGAAACAACTGACCCTGGTTTGTTAGAACCAAAGTTACACGTATTATCTTACTTTAGAAGACAAAAGGTGTGCTGTCAAATCACATTCTTAACCTCCAGACTGGAAAATTTGATGATGTTGTTTGCCATGCACTTAATTGCTCTCGCCCCAGTAAGCCCAGACCGACTTCAGATTGATTAAGAAAAAAAAAATCTATAAAAGCTCAACATGTCATACAAAAAGATGCATATAAGACTTTTTTCTCTTTATTCTTTTTCTTATGAAAGCTGCTTTGGTAACAACATAGTCACGACATCGGTCAATCTCCTTTACTTTGCCTGGGTGCTGAAGGGGACTCCTTCCCTGTCATCTCAATGGCGTATTTTTTTTTTTTTTCGTCAGCATCTTCCTTCTGCCTCTAATATCTAAATGAATGGATCTAGTTACACCAGAGTGGGCTGTGTTTGCGTTCCGCCGTAGCGCTGTCGGCACATCAGATGGGAGATCTGCTGGGAGCTGTTTGTCATAAAGATGTCCGCGCTGTGAAAGACAGAGCTATTGTGCTGAGGGCTGATAGAGTGGAGACCTTGGATGCTGAGCCGACTGCGTTGGGGCCTGAAAAGGTATTGAAAAGAATGAAAATGTTAGAGCTCTGGAAAAAAGAAACCCCACACAGACTTTGGCATTTTATTCCTTTAATCGGCAGCTTCTCCAGCTTGCTTTTGTAATTTTCAGCTGAAAACATTCATTTCCAAAAATGCTTGAGAGTTATTACTTGAGCAATTATTTGAGACATTGAAAGTATTCTAAATAAATTGCTCAACTTTGATGCAACGCTTCCATTATAGTTTCACGTAGAGGCCATAATTACATAATGTCTCATGTAGCACATTATTTTCCCACTCTCTCTGTTCCTTTGGAGATGATGATAGCTAATCTGTTCTGGCAAGACAGCAGCAGGGGAGTGGATTATTCAGCTCCACGAGGGAGGCACTAACTAGCTCTCCACTGACCTGGTATCCTTGGGATGGTGATCTGCCTGCTACTGCTGCCTTCCCCTCCCTCTCCAAATGGCTTTATCTGGATGATATAATCCTCATCAGTGGGCAGGGCGAGCTCCACAGAGGTGGTGTTGGTTTCCATGACGTTGGGGCGGCTGTGCCGATTCTTCTTGTACAGCACCTGAGACGAATGGGGCGAGTCAAGTCAAGAGTCAGGAATGGAGGCCATGGCAACAAACACAATTTTCTGATAAAACCAAGCGACTGGGTGCTTACTTTGTAACCAGTGACCTCTGACTCATTCTCCAGGGCTTTGACCTGCTCCCAGTTCAATATAATCTTGGAGTTTGATGTGTTCCACATCACTTTCACCGGTGGCTGACTGGGTGCTGAGAGGAGGAAAAACACATTATTGACCTCAAACAAAAGCAGACCAGTGGCAGGGTAGTTATAATTAGATCGAACACTTACGTGGCTTTTTGGTGGTGACGTTGACAGCGGCGCTGGGAGGCCCCGTTCCAGCAGTGTTATACGCCCTCACTGAGATGTAATATGTGGTACTGCCTTTCACACCGCGGATAATAGTAGACGTTTGATTTCCTACAGTCCTTTGCACACTGGCCGTGTCTTCCTTTTCACTTCTACTCCAGTACCTCAGCTGAAAAGCAACGGGGCAGAACCACAGACGTGAACGCAGAAAACACGACAGACACCTTAAAAGCTTTCTGTTACACCCTGTCAATGAAGTGCAAACTGGAAACAGGGAGATGTGAACTCAACTGGATGGAAGATGTGAACTGGTCTGAAAACAAGCTTTAGCAACATGTCACTTAATGTAGCTCATGCACCTTTTGCTCACTGTGAACTACGTGCCTTGATTGTGCTTATCAGACATGTGTCATGGTTTAAGTTATGTGGTAAAGAATATGCAAAAGGAGAGAAAAAAAGGAAAACAAAGAAGAAGAAAAAGAATCCTCAAAAAAACCCTGCCATCAACTTCTACTGATAACAGATTTTCTTTGTCACCCTGCTTGTCAGGTCTGAAATAGCTGGCACGCTTGACAGCACAAATATAATTTGTCTTTCCTCACAGGAATGGTTTGCTCAGGCCCTGCTCCTCTGTTGACTTTGAGTGGTCAACAATTTATAATTTTGGCACTTTATGCAATCTGTGGATGAAAACAGCGTCTTTGTTCACATCTTGGATTTCAATAATGAGCAGAATTAAAATGACAAGAACTAACTGAGCGCAAAGCCAGTGTCTGAAACAGTTTTGTTGTGTGGATTAGAAGCTAAACGTTCTATCCCTTAGAGTATTGCATCAGTACGCTAATCAGGGTGGTTACAGTACTTAGGTAAACAACAAGAGAAACACAACTAAACCCACAAGCATGGGACTAGGCTGGACCATTATGCATGCAGTAAGCTATTATCTCCTGTGCCCAAGGTGCATGAGCCTGAAACACTCATCAATAATAGAAGAAAACAAGATTCAACAGCATTAGTTGTCATGTGCTTGTGTGTATTGTTATTGTGTATTTGCATCCACTGAAAGCACATATAAAACAAGATATTTCAGTGTAGCTCACCTCATAGCCCAGCACTCTTTTCTTGCTGGCATTCCAGGGCAGAGCTTTCCATGAAACTTCAATCTCAGACGCAGAGAGGCTCTTGGCACGGACCCTGGTGGGCGCTCGGCCAGGCTCTGGAGTTAATGTATAAAGAGTTTGAATGATTTTAGAAGTAACACTGAGCTTTGATGACCCCTCAGAGTGGGAACATCAAAACTGTTTCAAAGATGTTTCTTTTATCCAAACAACAGAGGGAGGGAAGTATGGGAAAGACGTCTGCAAGTGCTGATAGAAGAACACTGGCTGTAATTACTGCTGCTGTTTAAACCCTGAATGGATCTAGCCATGTACTTATGCATTAATAGTGGCTGTGCAAGTACAGCTACTCCATAACATGTTGCATATGACATTAGAGATTATACGCACCTTCCTCAGCAGAGTAGATAGTGGTGACAGACCCAAACGGCCCTTCCCCCTCATTGTTGTAGACCCCGACCTTCACATGGAAAGGCGAGAAGGGCTGGATGCTTTCGTCTTTAAAGACGTATTTCGATGTTTCAGCAGATGGCACGGCAGCCTGCATCCATCCTGTGGCACCGTGGGGTCGAAATGCCACAACGTAGCCAAATCCTGGTCCATTCTGCAGCTCCTCTGGAACAGGCTGCAGGAAAAAAAAATGTTTAAGCACTTTTTTTGTATATAAAATAAACTTAGAATACATTTTGAAAACTAAAGACTAAAACCAAGACGAAGGACATGGCTTTCAATTTTTTAGTTAATACTTTGCTTCAAATATAACATGCAGCACACACAAGAAGTATGGACACATCCATTACACAGTACAGTGCACTCAGCATGATACCATACCAGCAGCTGTTGTCCAGACTGATAACATGCCTCATACATTTATAGCTGCAGACTTCATTCTAGTGGATAAACCCACCCTCTTCACTCTCGTACAGTTATAGATGTATTCTCACATAAAAAGCACTTCATTTCTTCTTTCTGTTTTAGCCCTGCTACAGGCAGGTCCTATGTATACTCTGTCTGTGGTCTAGATATCTAAACTCAGGGCCAGTATGGATATTCATGGGAATGTAATAAAAAATGCACTGACTTTGGTGAGCCCCTGACTTTTTAGAATTAGTAATCTTTGAGTGTGTTTTTGTATTTATCAAAAGCCTTCCATACAGTCGATCAAAATATATTTTTGGGGGGATTTTGTGGATCACAAAGTTATTTTATTACTACCTCAATAGAGTAATTTACAGATGGCTACTCAATTATATTGCTACTTGAAAACAATTTGTAAATGCAATGGTTGGACTTATATGGTGTGAATTACTGGTGGTGTCCCACATGGGTCAATTATGGGCCCCCTTTTGTTACTCATTTATACTATTGACTTGATCACAACAGCTATGTTGATGACACTAGTTTGTTTCTTTCATTAAAACAATTTTTCACACCTCTACATAGTTTAAATTAAACAAACATTTCTTTAAATTAAGTTAATAATCTAATTGAATTTTTACTGCCAAAAACACAAGTAAATAAATCATATTCATTTAGTTCACACACAAAATCAATTGGTATTGTGAATAAAATACATAGTTTATTTATTTATATTTATAAATCCATGGTAAATACATTTTTTTACATGTATTATGTATTGTGTATATATAAGCAGGATTTGCTTTCTAGAACATAATTCATTTTTTTATTTTTTCCCCCCACTGTATGTTGTACTGTTTATTATATATTTTTTTATTTCTATATTTTTCCTACTTTATTATTCTTTACTGTGTTTTGTAACATATGCAAATAAACTAAACTAACCTCTTTCTCTAGTGCCAAGATCTGAACACTAAACAGAGGAATTGGTAGATTGCAAGGGGGTTAATAATCCCAAGGCCTTTTAAACTACTAACAGTCACCCTCAGGACAAAAGTTACACTTTAGTTCCACTACAGGTAAGACACTAAAATGGTAAGCACAAGTTAAAATGAAAAAACACTCCATCCCTGCTTTTATGTCAAAATGCCTCAGGAATATTCAGGACTGAGGCAAAATAGCGGCTTTGTTAAGCAGAAGTTCGACTTTAATTAAACTCTTGCATACTGAAACATCAACACTGGTTCTGTGAAACGTTTCACAGTGGGGGCTGATGATTTTAAACAGCCTGAATAAATATAAGCTTTTGGAGCTGGATTGATATGCAGAGGCTTTGTATGAAAGAAGGAAAAGAAAAGAAAGACAGAAAGAAATAAAGGGAAAACAATCTGAAACAAAGTTGGGACTTCGAAGGAACCATTGAGTCTAATTATCTTATTGAAACCTCAAAAGCATTTTTCTCTCCCCTAGGGTGACAGCAGCAGTTATTGCCTTTCTGTTCTTAAAAATGAAATGCCATACATTAAGCTGTTCAGCTGTTATTAATGAAACAGAGGCCCAGATCCACGGAGAATAATGACGTCTGGCTCCCTTCTCCATGGGTGAGGGGCTCCTGAGTAAGCTTGCTTACCTCCCATGTGATGACTAATTCCGAGCGACTGCCACCGCCTCCACTCACATTAGCTGGTGTGACCTTCGGAGCTGGAGGAAGAAGACAGATCAGCTTAGCCCTGTTGACTTCACATGACGGCAAGAAGGCACATGTAATCATTTTCCATGTTGCTACTCCCAAACAGCAGACAGAGTAATGTCTTGACATATTTGAACTTCAACATTGAGAAAACCCGTAGGATATCAGCAAAATTGTTACAGCTGAGTCGTGTTTGCAGACGTGGCCAACCTGTTGTGCTTTTTATATACCAAAACACAACAAAGGAACAAGACACAGAAAGGATGTAACCTTGGTGGATCCAGCTCTCAGCTTCCGGTTCAATTTAGAAATACTTCACCACCATTTTATGCTTTGGTTTTGTAGGGATTGAAAAATCCCAGAAATATAACTATTGAGCTTTAGAAGTGCTGTTGCTAGGGGATTTTGTAACCTTTGGTCAGGCTAGCTGTTTCCCCATTTCCAGTCTTTATGCTAAGCTAAGCTAAGCTTCTGCTGGCCGTACCTCCAGATTTAACGGACAGACATGAGTAGTATCTAACTTTCCATCTGAATTTCGCAAGAAAATGTTCCTTCATGCCTGAATCCACCCTTTATTCCTATTCCTTTAAAGAAATTAAGTAATATGTCTTCAAAGGGAAGAACAAACAAACATGACACAGAGGCATAAGGACATTTCTTTTTGCTCATGCAGTACATACAGGTCCCCTTTGTCCTTGCTTGTTTAGATGGCTTGCTGGGCTCGCCAGTCCCAATGGTGTTGCTTGCCAGGACTCGGAACTCATACTCCACCCAAGGGCTCAGGTCTATTACTGTAGCTGTCAGCCGGTGGCCCCCCACCACCTCAGGAACTGGCATAAAACACACAGTGCCCACTTCAGTATTGTGAAACGTTGTGTGTGTGTTTCCTGTGTGTGTGTGTGTCAGCTTAGCATCAGTAGCAGACTGTCCTCCAGGCTGACAGGCCTGGTAGGACCCCACCACAGGTACATAGGACAGGTGTAATCCCTCACAAGGACACACACTGTAATGCACAGACAAACTTAAAAAACAAGAAAACAATTCAGAAGAATCACATGTAAAGACATAAACTATTAACTTGCTAATTTGGTGATATTTATTTAGCTTCAGTGAGACGTGATAGGGCACGATATGTTCCTGGAATCATAGCAAAGCATCAAAATCCCTGTAGTGCACAAAATATAGAAATAAAAAGAGATGATTTCACATAAAAATGACAAAAAATCTGTTTCTTCTGTTGAAATAGAATTATGTCTACCTGCAAGGTCATAATGTAGTCCTGTTTCAAATATATGATCCTGATGTGGTAAATCAATGAGGCCAGTAAAACTATCTTAGATCAAAGTGTCCTTAATTCACAAAAATATCAATAGAACAAGGTATACAGTATGGGATAAATGCACATTATACCTATCATGCGTGAATGTTAAGGGCCCCATTAAAGAGGATGTGGGGAAAAATTACACCGGTGTCATCACTTAACTACACTATCAAATTACAGCCTTGGCAACAGGCTTCATCATCAGGATGAGATCTATGTTTCCGGATTCCCAGGAGTCAGATAAAATAGCGGTCAATGGTCATGCTACAATTGCGTACCATTTGGTGCTGGGTGTAAAAATTGCACCTCCAATATTCTCACAGGCGAGGGAGAATGAAGAGACCCTCCGTGTGATTGGAGGAAGCCACGGCTGGTTGGAGAGAGCTTACCTGTGGTGACAGCCTGCCACCCGAGGGAAAATGGTGTCCTGGCCTGGATGGTGTATGCCGTAATTGGACTGTGATTATCAGGACCAGGCCTCCAGGACAGAGAGGCTGTGGTATCAGTGATTTCTTCTACATGGATGCTGGTGGGGGGCCCCGGGGGACCTGATAGATGGCATAGCCAGGCAGGAAGAGCAGAGAAAGATAGAGAGACAGAGGCAGAGGAGGGAGGAAATTTAAATCAGTAAGAGATGGAAAGATGGTAAAGAGAGTGGCTTTGGTTTTAGCACCTGCGGCTACTGTAGCGAAGTCAGTTCACTGTGAAACCTTTGGGAGCTATTTGGTCTAATTAGACAGCAAATTTCCTTCAAACCTTGAGGAGAGAAATTTCTATTTGCTACCCTTTTCATTCTATCTCTTTATTTCTTCCTCACTGAAGCACAGTAAACATTAATTACTAACAAACTCCTTCCCTTTTCAGCAGTAGATGAATGACAACCTTAAACACTGACAGTGAGCCGAGGGACGTGGCCAGGCCGGTAGTCATTTTGAAAAGAAGCAAGTTCTTTCTCAGCGAAAGCAACGGTAGAATGGACGCTCATTGTTTGTGGCTTACCTCTGACAACCAAGTCAACAGCAATGGAAATGCTGTCCACCTTCGTTTGTACGGCGCACGTGTACTTCCCCGCATGCCTCAGCTGGATGTTTCGAATCATAATGTCTCCTGCCGAATGCTGCTGTCATTCAAACCGTGCACAGACAAACACACACACACACACACACACACACACATTGTAATTCAAGAACAATACTGACTTTCAAGCCACATGGGAGCAAAACCAGCTTATCAGAAAGCTCATTTTCATGTATGTGTATCTTTAAAAAATAAATCCATTATTCCTCATGCAGCTTTTTCTTCCATACTCTACCTACCTCTGTCTGTTCCTCTTGCTATAATTGCAGAAATGTACTTGTTTAAATAGCTTGATTTTGATTGTATTACAGAACATTTTCAGTTCTAAGAAGCAGCCTAATGGCTAGTCTAAATACTTAGTTCTTTAAGGGAGCCTTTTATGCCACCTCTAATTGCATTTCCTACGCCTACATTATCATTTCATCAGAGTACAACAGAGCAGGTTCCGTAATAGTAAGAATTCTTTGGAGTGGCTGGTAGATTAATCAATGTAAGTGGAGATGCACAGCAATTTATTAGGGAGAGGGGTCTGGAAATAATGGTACAAGAAGCACCTAAATCATAGAAGAAACAGGAAAGACACCCCAGTGCTGCATTTTTTTCTTTACTCCTAAAGTTTTTATTTTTTTATTTTTTAATGAAATATATGCCTGGGTATCACAAGCTGAGATGTGAGCTGCAAACCTTTTAAAGTATACAGTGGCTGAGTGAGACTGTTTGCAGGGTGTGTATGTAAATTTCATTTTAAAATAAACCACAGGCAGCAATTTTCTGGCCATAAATAATACACTTGATACAAACATTCCCTCTGCACTGCGGCTGAATTTATTATGACCATGCTAAAAGAAGGAGTATAATATTGATGTACCAATGAATCTTCAGAGTCACCTCTTGACCTTTATTCGATGAAATCTCTGAAGGCGTTGGAAAATAAATCAATGTCTTTTGTGTGGCAGAGTGGCGCAGTTGCACTAATAAAATTAGCATTCTTCAGCACACCATAATAAGGTATATTTCTTAATTATTCATTGTGTGAAAGACATGGTGTTTTTGACATCATCGGGAAAGACTGAAAACTTATGGGGCGATTAACATGAGGTGTAAAAGTAACGCATTGAGAATGCTCAGTATCCCGAGAGGACAAGCTGTTAGCACAGAGGGAGAAAATGAACAGTGTGCATGTAGTGATCTGGTCAGAGCCCTGGATATTAATGAGGTGGATAATAGTTTTGAACAGGAACTGGTTAGGAAGAAACTCCTGTTTTAAGGCTTTTATGTTTTCAGTGTGACGCTTCAGATAGTGTTGCAGACTGCTGGCTATAGATGGAAAATGCTTTGGACAAGTTACTAAAAATGTATTTTATTATTAATATTATAGTATAATATAAAATAATATAAAAGTAATGAATTTCTAGGGTAAGTAACTTTTGCGTTACTGCATTAGTTTATTGTTTCTGTGGGACAAGATGAAAATGTATCTAGTTATTAATACACATACTAAATCCTGTACTGACACTGTTTTAGTTGAGTGAAGCTTGCCTGTATACACTGCAGGTATTCACATATCTATCTGGCATAAATCAAGTGTAGTGTAGGAAGTTCTTACAAGGTTACCAACAAGGAAGCCTTTTTAAGAGCATAGAGATTTACTTCTTTTTTGTATGCTAACATTACTTGTGCGAGGTCTTTTAAGTCTCTGTAATTGTTATCACTACTCCTAGCCACTGTTTCTCTTTGGAGTTCAAAGTGTCATGGTAGCTAGGCAGATCTGTACCAAAAGTCATCAAAAGTTGTAGAAATGTGAGGATGAGTGCCACATACAAATGTACCTTTTAAGTATTTTTTATTGGTTTTCAGTAAGTTGCTTTATTTCTAAATATTGAAAATGTCCACATACTGTATAAGCTATCATGACATTGTGGCAACTTGATTTCTAATCCACTGGTGCATGCGCATCCTCAATTGTGTGTAAATGGGAAACCTGTCTTTCTAGCTCTCACAACATGACAGCCTGTTTAAAAATCAGAGGCCTGAATCAGCCTCACAAGTTTTGAGAGACCTTGAGGGATTATGGACTTACGCCTCCCACTTTTTCAAAAAATCCACCGTGGCTCCCGAAGTGGATGAGCTGCTCGTTGAAGAACCAGGTGAATTTGAGCTCCAGAGACGGGTCGTGGCTCACTTGACAGGGCAGGACCACACTCTCCCCCACAGTGACGTCCAAGGTGGACGGCAGGGTGGTTATGATGGTCGGCTCTGAAACACACATTCACATCCGTGCATGTTAGTTCAAACACACTGTTCAGCTCCCACTTTTCCTGGCATTATAATTCGGCACAGGAAATGGCTTTGCAAAAAGCCAAGCCCTTCCATCATCCTTATGGATATGTCAGACTCAGTTAATAGAAGGATATATGGGACAGAGAGCACACAGCAAACTAGGGCGCACGGCTACAATAACTGGTATTAGTCTCGGCCTTAGCTCGTCTCTGTGGGGACTCGGAAACGTGTCTCTCCTGCAGCCTGAGAAGCCTCCATGTGTCACTGCCAACTCAGCCTTCAGCCTGGAACTCCCTCCCTATTGGCCTGAAATTCCCAAAACGCACCGCTAGGAAAACAGTAAACAGCGGTGAGCACTTCTTCCACTCGTCGCCACTCTCTTTTCAAGCCTGCAGTGCATTACAATGGCATCACAAGGGAATAAGGCAAGCGTCCCCTATCTGCACTTGTGTGTGAGCAGCGGAGGAGTACGACGGAGGGACATGAGAGAGGCGAGATGAGAGGGAGAAGGCTTTGTTCTCTGAGTGTACAGCACCTGTCTCCCTCTTGGGGGTGCTGTGATTACTTGGTTGGAATTGCCACTCTGAGCACACTGGCTAAATTAACCATGGCAAATGATCCCCGGACAGGCATAGATTCATGTAGAAAGTGCCGGCAGTGCAGTCTTCATCCAGAGTGAATTCGATACCTTCATTGTATTGGCCCCCTCTTACCACTCCCCAATACACACACACACACACACACACACACACAGACCACCATACGCTCCCAATGTGATTTATCTACTCGTTTTCTGATATCAGGCCAGAATGCTATCAGCTGGTAGGTTTTGTCACATACACAATGGAAAGTGTGTCTGAGAGCCCTGGTTCTCTATTGCTGGGGCTAAATGGTGAGCGATGGCGGTGCAGTAAAAACGTCGTAATAACACACAGGAGTTATTCAAGGGTCTGTGTCTACTCTGTCTGCCTTGTTTCTAAAGCTACACCTTGTAAAACAAGTGCGGGAGGGAAACAGAAGAGCTAAAAAATGGTTAAGAAAGGATAAGAAACAAACAGAAAAGAGAAAGTGTCAGGGCTGTTTTGCAATGGTTTTCGGGGTGAGACAGTTACTCCAAATGGTGTGAGGAGAAAACAAAAGGCTCAGGAAGGATCTACAGGGAAATACTTCCACAGTCAGAAATGTTTCCTCCTCTATCTCTGCAACCTTGAAACATACTATGAACATTTATTTCCTTTATTATTTATTTTCTAACAGGACCTCCTCTCCTTGTGGTGTGTGTACTGCCTGGTGTCTTACTGCCTCCAGGGACTCACTGGGACATTGATGGTGGGAATATGCTCCCTTATTACCCTCCTCTGTCATCATTTGTGACAGATTATGGACAACCAAGGTTGGTTACACAACCACACACTGGGCTCTTGAGCATAATTTGATTGATTTCTATCTTGTATAATGCCTTGTTACCTACTGCCACTGTAAACGAGGGGATAGTAACCCGCTCACTTAGCGGGGTCAATCAGAGACAAGACAGAGAGCGTGTTAACGTACAGAGACAGGCCGGGTGGCTCCTCAGGAAGTGCTGTTGTGGAGGCGGGTCAAAGCACTGCTGACGTGTTTCAGTTTGTACTTAGGATGCTGAGAAGTGTTCTCTGATAGTCTCCTGTTGTTACATGTCACAGAGTTTAACATGAATAATTGGCAATAATGAATTAAACATGACAAATCAATGTGAAGTAAATAAACATTTATTTTCACGTGATTTTTTTGTAAGTGTAAGCGCTCAAGGTCTGATTTCTCCAACAAACGGTAAATGGACTGTACTTGTATACGGCCTTTCTAGTGTTCCATCCACTCAATGCAGTTAACACTATACATGCCACAATTCATCCATTCACATACATCCCAAAGGCCATCACAAACAGAAAGTAATTCATTCATACACATTCATACACCTTGAACAATTTGGAAATTCAGAATCTTGCTCAAGAACACTTCGACATGCAGCAGGAGGAGCCGGATGATCGAACCGCCAACCTTCCCATTAGTGAGCGACCTGCTCTGCCTCCTGAGCCTCAGCCACCCCAAGGATTCTCCAATAAACTTCACTTGTTCTGTTTTGTAATTCAGGGGAATTATTTAAAAATGAAAAAAGAAGCTTATAAATACACTTGTGCTAACAGTCATCATTGATACATTTGAACACATTTACTTGAACTTTTATTTACTAAAATAAATGAACTGTCTACAAAAATAAACAATAGGATTTGCTGTTGGGGGATCAAAATCAGATTTCAGTCAAGTTTTGACATTGAGTAGCTGAATTTCATCTCATATTCATGAAGATAACCCTCAGTGTATAATATAATTCTATTGTAGATCTGAAAATGAAAAAGTAAAGGATTTGTATCTGTTTGTGTGTGGAAATCCCATATATCAAGACTTTACTAATAAAATAAGAACATCACACCGTTATAATTGACATGACAAAATTCTGATTGTCTTCCACGACTACTCATATAACTATACCAAAAGCACCTCACTTTGTATGCTTAATGACTGGTCAAGTTTTGGAAACTAAAAGTCGGCTAAAGGAAGGAAAACACTGTGGCTCCAAAATTTTAGAATATTTTTCAAAACATTCCCCAGAAGGATTATTTAATTTGGTACTCACTGTAGAGATAAAAAAAACCTCTTAGCACCTTAGCTGAACTAGCAAACGTATAATTTATCTGCAGGCAGATATACTATTCAACATATAAGGAGAATTCAGTTCTCAGTAATAAATGAATAATAAATTAATATTTACTACGGCTTAGATGTACAGATTTTCACTATTACCGATACCAAGTCATTATATTCAGGAAACTTCCTAGGAAATTGTTTGGAAATATAGGACCGATAAAATAAATCCTCCTTTGACAGTGAAGTGCTTGGTGGACCAACCATCCATCCCGACCTCCTCCCTATAGACCTTTTGAGAAGGTTAAACAATGCCATACTACATCCGACTTTGCTACTAAGAAAGGGCAGAAACTACCTTTGTCAGGAACATGAGTTCCTGAAAATGAGTTCCTGACAAAAGGTGAGTTTAAAGCCTCTGGATATGTGGCCTGAAACAATTAAAATGCATATAGAATATATCAAAGTTGAATGTCTCATTAAGCATCCACAAAAATCTGAGTGAAAATAAATGTTCACAAAAACACCTAGTTCAAAAAACTCTGTTTGCTGTTTATACCATTTATCAAGACTGTGTACGCAGGCTGATCACGTTTTTTTCGACATCTCCTTCAGGACAGGAGTATTACTATGGACGCACCGTAGTAGTGTTTGGGTGGAACAACTGACAACTGTTATTTTACTGGTTTGAGGAATTAATTGCATATTTTTTTGTATGTCTAATCATAGCCACAGCCAATTCAAACCTCATATCAGGAAAGTTTAAAAAAATTTCAGTGTGTAACTATTTAAATCTATTTAAAGGGAATATAATATTTATAGGTATGTTTTTTATTAGTGTATCATAAAAATGAAAATGTATAATAATCACCTGAAAATAAGAATTTGTTTTCGTTACCTGTTTTTATCTACAGAGTAAGAGGGTTCTCTTACATGGAGGCTGCCATGTTGAACTGCCATGTTTCTTCCATTTGTAGAATGGACAAACCAAACACCGGCTCCAGATAGGGCCTTTGGCATTTTTCAACACTTTCTCAGCCATTGTAGTTTGGAGAGGCGAGGGCGTTGCACTGGTACTTTAAATGGCAATATTTTGAATTTGGATTCAAACTAATTTGAACTAATTTAAATTGCAAGTTATACGTCTATTGTGGATTTGGGTTTCCAGTGGCTTTAAATGTTTGAACACACAGCCGAAGCAGTCATTTTTTCTAGTCTGAAAGAGTGCTGCAATCAAGCCAAGTGGCTTTTTAATGTAAAAATCCCCCAAAAAACAATATACGCTTAGATAAGCGTAAAGCTTAAGGCTTAATGATTAAATGAATGAGAAATTGATGAGTATTTTATTATTTAGGCAACATCAAGTACTTAGCTTAAACAGCAACAACAATCACAGCATTGCATGCCATGTTAAGGAAACTGAAGGAGGTGTGGCAGCCAAACAGATGACTTACTGACACTGGCTCACAGTGGAAACACTCAGAGAAGCTGTGCAACAATAACATATGGTTGAGCAGGAAACAGAGCGAGCTAACGGTTACCAAATGACTTCCTGCTCCTCTCTGAGGCGTACTGACATGCCTCACATGGCCAGTTTCACCATTCTTCCCACAAACAGCAGCCATCATGAATAATGCTCACCCCCCCGCCCCTCCTGTGGAGAATCCCAGCTTCGATGCTCTAAAGCTATAAAGTGTAAGTATGTAATCTCCAGTGTACACAAGCTGTAGTTTTCCACACAAGGTGAGTGATGTGAGCTTGAATAATGCAAAACAGAGGGTGTCGAAAGAGCTATGGGCCACGTGATGCAAGGATTTTGAAAACAAATTTACCGGAGCAAAGCCTCACCCTCACCCTCTAAGTCCTTCACACAGAGATTCACGCAAAGATGATCCGGAGGCACGGAGACTCAAGACAAACAAAGCCTTGTAAAGAAAATGTATTTTCACCGGCAGGTCAAAAGCCTTCTCTAAAGAGGCTGCACCAAATCTGACGGCACACATCAGGCTACGGCAGATTATCATGTATTTTGCATTCAGTGTTGATGAAAAGGCCCTTTATTCCTCAGTGCCAGGGCTATCTCTCAGGTCATTTTGAAACAAAACTGCAGAGCACGTTATAATAAAGAAATCATTCCACCCCAATTTCCTCCGGTTGCTTTACAGACAAACAAACCAAGAGGAATGCTTTCATCAGCGCAGCACTAACTCCTCCCACGTGCTTTTCTGAATGCCACTCATTTTCCAAAGGACAAATCAAAGGTCTCACAAGGGCAGCCAACTTCAAGTGCAGAAAAACCTGTGACATTCTTCAACGCGATACACACAGATTCACTGAATACTGGTCGTTAGGCCGTGCGTCGCCCCGAACAACTTGATCAGATGATTTATTGTTTGTCTTACACCTCCAAAAAATGACAAAAGCTATGACCAGTGCAGTCTTTCTAGATTGAGATTGAATCTGTAGTAATCTTCACGCCAATCCATTCAACAATTGTTGAGACATTTCATTAAAAGCTACATATGTGAACCTCACGGTGGCACTAGAGGAAAAGTAACCAACATCATTAGGACTTGTCTTCTGGGGACCAGAATGTCCGTGCACAAAAAAGACTAACATTGCCATCCCTAGAGTAGAAACACAAAGATGATTCAATAACCACTCAAACAAAAGACTACATTTTTACTTTCCAAACCCCTCCAAAGCGAGTGGTTGCAGTGTTGTGTCAGCGTTGAAAAGATGAATTGCTTTCGGGGTTCGCAGAGGCAAACAGAAGCGAACACAGTATGATCTCAGAAGTTTTGAGTTCACTGACCATCTGTAATGATCGAAGGCAACCCTAATTGCAACGGCTCATCTCCAGTGTAATCAAAATTCAGGGAGCACGTCCATAATCAAGTGCAATTAATCTGCTAATATCCCCCCAGTGTTGGAATAATGGGGACATTAACAGGGCTCATTTGTTGTGACTGCTCCTCCACTGTTTGCTAGGTGGCTTATTCACAGCAGGAGACGGCAAATGCTTTTTGACAGGTATTTTTCAGCATTCATATCACCAAAGTCAATTTGAATAAACTACTGTCATCTCCCATAAGGGCTGCTCCTGCAACACAAATTTCTCCTCGCTAAACAGGTTTCCAATCCTCAATGAAATAGTGCATGTAAATTACCCCATCCCATTTTCCAAACAATATCGATTGTGACAGAGAGGCGCAAGATCATATACAGGAACATTTGTACATCAGCAGCAGAAAACAGCTTTAACATATGATGATGGAAAGGAAGCGGTGAGCGAGGGTGTCAAATAAAACCCATATTCCTTTTCACAAGAATAATAAGTGGATAAAGGCGCCATCTATTTATGCTGTTTCAAACTATGCCCCCCCCCCGCGCACACACTGATTGGTTGGAGGGTTCTGTACCATTTTCATTTCAGCGTGTGATAAATGGGTAAAAGGAGAGGGTGACTGGCAGAGTGTAGCAATGCTGTGCTTTTCATTATGCCTCCAAGTTGAAACTCTGTGCTTAAACTTTCACAGCAATTAACACGATTGCGAGCAAAACTACAACTGCACTGACAATTCACACGTTAATTTCATCACTTCAACTATGCAAAGGTTACCGATTCCTTTTGTGGAAAGGCAGAGTCGTCAATGGGAGGCAGAGTGAGGCATCAGCATAAATCAGCAGCAAGGTGCACTCTAAGCTCTCCCCGCATCCTTGACTGCTGCTGACTTTCAAGCATTCATAATTTATTAAATCTGTCTTTTATAATTCAACAGAAAAAGGAAACATGCCTTGATAGTGATTTACAGAGGAAAGAGCTGCTCTTGAGTTTTTAAAAATTCCATTATAATAGAAGAAGGGAATTACTGTATAGATACAGTTCAGAACATTCCTCTTGCTGTTATATAGTCACTGTTGCTTTGCTATCCAATCAAATATTTGCCTTTAGGGCTAAAATTTCACGTTTCTATAGGAACTGCTTGGGAAAAAGAAATCCACCCAATATTTGGCACACTGCTGTGCCGTTGACTCCGCATTTCAAAGGAATTTATAGATTTCTAACTTGTAGAAGAAAGACAATTAAATGGATTGAACCTTTGAGCAAAAATCATAAATCACAAAAGAAGAAGAGGGAGAAGCTCAGTCTCTGAGACAGAAAAATTATTTCACTTCAGTGAGTAGTGGGAAACATACAGCAGTTCTCATCATATATTCTGGAGAATTGGGAGGATTTTGGCACCATTTTATTGGTATTTTTTTACTGACTGTACAATTCATTGCCTAACAGTTAGGTTCAACTGTGTGCACACCAAACTTTTTTCTGTACTCTCTCTCTCACATAGTGGAATGAAGGCTCTTTGCTGAGCGTGATCCTTGTCATCTCAGAATATGCAGAATATGCCATCTGATTTGTCTGAAAGATCTGATGTGAAGATTCCAATAATCTGTTGAAATATACATGTAAATCTATAACAAACCTTATGAAATATGAGGCATGACCTTTTCTTCCTGTGGCCAATATACTGAAAATCAATAATTCTATAAATCTACATGAGTTAGTCAATGAGGAGGGTCAAGGCAGAACAAATAACAATAATACAAATGAACTGAGCAACCTCTGTGAAAGGGGGGGGGGGGGCACGGTGAGGGTATAGTTCACTGAATATGTCAGCAAATCCCACAGAAACTAGAGGAGGTGAGAACACTATTCCCCGTGGACAGAAAAAAACAGCAGTGTGCACAGAATAAAGCCACTCATGCACTGCAATTTATACCCGGCTCACATTCATTTTCAATGAAGGCGAGGCAAGGCTAGGAGCTTTTCATACACAAAGGCAACTTAAAGTGTCTTATATAAAGCATAAAAACATAAAAAAGGAAAGAAAACTGATTAAAAAAACCATTAAAATGCCAATTAAAAGAATGGAAACCTTTTTAGAGGAAATTAAAATGTTACAGAGATATAAAAACCAGATAGGAGGGCAAGGTGGTTCACAATGATGACCTGAGAGGCCGAGAGGGGTCATGCGTTTAAAGATAGTGAGAGGTGTCTCATATGGTGGGGTCGAAATCCAGATTGAAACGTATCAAAGTAGCTATTTGAGGTTAAAAAGTTACTCAGTTGCTGGCAGACAACTTTTCCAATAATTTTACTTACAAGGAAAAGCTTTGATAATGGTCTGTAGCTGGTAATCACAGATGTTTCCACACTACTCGTTTTTAGGAGAGGCTTGATGACTGTATTTGTCAAGGCTTTGGGAAAATTACCTGATCGCAGAGAGCTAATGACTATCTTTAGTAGAACTGTTGCCAAACAGCTGAAAGCATTTTTAAAGAAGCTTGTTGGTTGAGCATCAAGACAGCTGGTGGACGGCTTACAATGCTGCACAATTTCATCTAAGTGCTGCCATTTTTTACCATATTTCTTCCATGTGATTGTAGGTAGGAATTTAGGTATTTTTTGCATTACACTGAACTTTTGATGGCTGGTCCAAAACGTTTAGGTTGTTTGCTTCATCCTTCTCAGTTTCAGTTGTAAATGAGTTTCTCTTAAATGTCAAAGTTTTGTTTGACGCCATCTGCGCTCAGCTTTTCGGCATTCCCTTTCCTGGATCTTTATTGGATCAGAATTTCCCCGTGGTGTTTACCAGAGAATGATTTAACCACAATGATGTTCTCAGTTTTGTAATTGTTTTGTAATTGAAACTGTCTGGAAAAAAGTTTCACATTGGGGCAAAGTGAGCCCAGGCAGTGCAGACATAGCTTCAATGATGTACTGCTTTTGAACAGTTGTTGATCTTGTGCAGACTTTAGGAGTGATAGAAATCACATAAAACACAGAAGGGATCCGATATAGCAAGGTCAGTTAACACCCTCGGTGACAATCAGAACAAGTGTGTGTCCTTGAGTGTGGGTGGACACATCTATGTACAGAGTCGCTCTAAATGTGTCCAGAATAGAAAAAAAAGAAGTTATTTTGCTCTGTTGTGACGTATAATAAGCCACAGCACCAGAGCAGAAATGCAACCCCCAGCCCAGATGATCTAACAATAGAAGGCTTTTTTCACACCGCATATCCTCTGACAGTACTGGAGGCACCGAGGCAGTGAGCTGAATGTTTTCAACACCTCTGCATGGCAACTGAGGTGTGTCTGTCTCTGTAGTGATGACAGCACGCAGAAAAAGGCCTGCTCCTCAAGACTTATCAAAAGAGGGAGAGAGAGGACGGGTTGGAGGCTTCACAAATCGCTGTCCTTCTTCTCTATGTTGGTCATGTTTTATTTATGAAATTGAACACTTCAGGTTAGTTTTTCAAGGGGCAGAGTGAAATATCAATCAACTCCACGTTGCTGTCAGAGTAAAAAAAACATGCATTTGACCATACTGGTCAGGGTCCCTGCTGACTGAACTGCAAAAGACACAGTGATGAAATCTGAAGAAGGAATAGGAAATACCTTTAACTGTGATGCTTCCTGTGCTACTTGCCACGCCAAACTGGTTTCTTGCCACACAGGTGTAGAGACCTGCGTCCGATTTGGTTGCGTTCCAAATCCGAAGGTTACCGTTGTCCAGAATGGAGACCCTGTAGTTAAAAAAGCACATTTTATTTCATTTATATTACTGCCGTAGCATCTGCTTTTACTATTATAGCCCGTTTTCATCCCAGGTTATCAAATACCAATGCTCTTCCCACGCCCCCTCTGTATGTGACACACCAGGCTACCACAAAACTGCCAGAAAGCCTTTTTAACACATGGTTCACGTTTGAATTAGACACCAAAACTACTTGTTTAGATTTCGTAAAAGATCATGGTTTGGGTTAAAATAACTACATTACATTTACATACATAAATCACGTCATAATGCAATTCACAGACACAAATCACGGATGGTGTTATTTGACAACCTGAGAATGAGAACAGGCTGATTAGTAACAAATACTGCTATGCATAAATTGCAACATTTGTAGCACAGGGTTGACTATGCAGCAAAGAAAAGTGACTAACATGCAGCAGAGAACATTTCTCAGTGTCTCTAATTAAGTTGTGCTTCTTGCAGATGACACTGATGAGAAATAGGATTGTATTTTCAGGGGTGTTTAATTCAGCGCATGACTTCACGATAATCTAGGACAACGGTGGCTTCCTTGCCCTTTATACAATGGCCACAAGTGCTTCCAAAAAGGTCAAAAGGCCTTAACAAAACTTGACATTTTCTAAATAACAAGCAAAAATGGAAATTGTGCCCTTGAAAGCAAGGTACTGTGGGAAATCAAGGGTGGACCAACTCATCAAAGCACGCTGAATTTTAATGATCTGAAATGCTCTGCTGAATGTGCAAACTGTAAATATGAAACGGCGTCAGCCTGATTGTGAGGGAGGTAAAATGATGTGTGGCCAGTAAATTGCTCCATTCACCTATGAACAGAGTCAAAGGAGCAAACAGATTCAGCCACTGTTAGATGGCAGCGAGGGTTTTAGCAAACTGAGAAATCAAACACAAGGGCAGAGGTGATTTTGTTTAATGACGGCTCTTTCAGGAACACGCATAAACACTTAAAGCTGCACCAGTTGATATTTTCAGCAAAACAATATAAAACAGTACATTACATACGTTAAAAACACATTAGATAGGAATAGGTGTCTATATGTGACAGGCCTTTAATTCCTTTTGCACAAAACATTTGCTCAGCAAAGATAGGAAATTATATCAAATTGTTTGTTTGAACCAGTATGAATATTACTTGTATAAAACACAAACAAACATATTAATTACAAATCATTTTTTTAATCATTTGATACTTTGGTGTTCATAGATTCTGTAAAGTGAACTGATAGAATTGAATTGTGGAGAATTTAACTGATGTACTAATGATGTGTAGCACGTCCATATTGACAAAGGTTTTACGCATATACTTGTGTAGGCGATCTAAGCATCTTAGAACTCACACAAGCGGGTGGCCTGTGGGTTCTAAGAGGTTTTATAAGTTAATGCCAGTTTAAGATCACTCTATGCACACTTCTTCATTTGTGGCTTTACATTTTACCTGTTGTTTAACAGTGGAAAGTCTAAGCCTCAGTCAAATGTGGCCTTTTTGTTTCAAAATTTAAAAATATATGCTTTAAACGTTTTAGAAAAGCTTTTCGTAAAGTATGTGAAAACAATAGCAATGCATAAGAAACAGCAGAGTTACAGCAGTTGTTTCAGCTATGCTTTCATACAGGAAATTAAAACCGGCATACTGGTTCATCTGGGACATCGCCCTGCACTACATCCATTTGGAGATAGGGTTTCAGGCCACCTGGTGAATGTAAGTCTTCATTTTAGCTCTGTCATGGTCTTCACTAATTCCTAACTGATACTAAATATCTGGCTCTTACCTGCTAAATGCTCCACTATGTTCACCAGCTAGTCACTAACTCTGTTTGTCTACTGTCTAGTGCTCAGTAGGTAGTGTAAAGAGCTTTTCTACTGAAAACAGCTGCCTATGGGCCACAAACCATGAGTCTGAGAGTGAACCTAAAAAGTGACGTTTCTAGGCCGAAAATAAAAGCGTGGAGCAGAGAGGTGCCATGGAGCTTCGTAGAACTGCCGCGTCATAATTCTCTGTGTTCGTCACTGCAGGGGACTTCTTTTAGCAGTCATGGGATCCACCATTAATATATTGATGATAGCTGCTTCAAGGTTTTAGAAAAGTCTTATTTTAAACCAGTGTCATAGTTTCATAATCACTTTACTAGAACATAAAAGTAAAATGTACGCCCCTTTTAACCTCTACATTTACTGCTGTTACTGTAAAGCACCTATTAAAACAATGGTAGCTCATTCAAAAACATGGCTGCATAACTAACAGTTCAACAGGACCAAGCTTCAGCGTCACAGAGCCTGTGCATCAGCACACTAGCTGTCACTGAAATCACGCCTTCAAATCAGCTTAAATGTGTTCTTCCACTCCTTTTGATTGATTCTAAACAGCTATCTGACAGCTAAAGATAATTGACAATGCACCGTGAGCTAAAACAGAGACAACTTTAATAGAGGTCTAAATTACACATGACACTGAGTTCATCAGTTCATCAGCTCTCACTGTTATAGGAGCATGGTGTTTTCTTGTTTGCGCCAGTGATGCGTTTAACTGGATGTACTTGTGAAATGTGGTTGATACAGTGTGACACTGAGTTCTACTTTCCCCCCTGCTTCGCTGTCTACACCGGGTCGTCAAGTGGTGGGTGTGATAAGAAAGTGCAGAGACAGTTAGTGTAAGAGAATCTACTTCTAAAACCACATGGCGCTGCTGAGTGGAGGCTTCTCGCTTTATATCAGTTTGAGAGAAAAGTGCTGAATGCAAAGCAGCCAACAATGGCCATCAGTCACACAAGAGGGCATATCTCTGTGTGGAATGGCGCACAGTCAATGACATCAAAGCCGGAGGACGATAAATTTAAAAAAAAATGGCCCATTAAATGGCAACACGGTCTTCCAACTGACCATAACCCTGAGCAGAGTAAGCACAATTAAAACAACTACTATACATAATTACATTGCAATGCTGGCTCTCTGCAGCAAAGTTTGTCTGATGACTCATGTTATCTAAAGGAAATGGTACTAAAGGTAATAGTTCTGCATTACAGTGAGGTTTCACCACATATGCAACTATTATCAATTAACTAGTGGCCTTTTCTGCCATCAGCGAGAGTGCAAACAAATGGGAAAACACATCATTTTAACTAGAACAAGCTCTGACCCAATTCAAGTTAACCAGCACAAGGCTCACAGCAATGCCTCAACATAACTAAATACCTGCATTTGCACTCTGTATATCCACAATCCCTTTATCCTCAGGGACAAAATAGATATCATGTGACTTGTGCGCCATGCATCTTGTAAGAGGAAGCTCTGTGGAGAGCGAGCAAGTGGAGCTGCAATGGAGCACAATGGCTCTTACAGAGAGTTAAATCCTCAGTGGTCCTCCTGTGGAGCCAAGTCTGTTCTTAGCCATTCACCGGATCGCCTACCTTTTATGAAGCTTTATTTGAAGACCAGGGAGGCACTTTCCTTTCGCCAATATTACAGAAAGTGGAGCAGACCGGCTGTCTGCACAAGTGTTCGTCATTTTAGTCTGAAACTAATGGAAGATGAGGTCAAATACAGTAGAAGTCAGCTGAGGCAAGGTAGCGGTGAATAAGAGATGGAGGCTTACTATTAACACGTTTCAGTTTTGCTCCTGTCTTCCCTCTTCCTTCTGCTGTGGCCGAGACAACATGTCTGCACGATGGGCCCATTATGCAAGCAGACATTTCCCACCTCCATCCCGAGAGAAGCCAGCGGAGGGGCAGGTATCAATAATTCACATGTGAGATGAACACAAGTGCCACTCCTTTCATCCCCGCCTCACACAGGTTTAATGGACACAGCAATAAGTCTCCTAAAAGGAGGCGATTATTTCTGAACAAGGCGAGATGGCCAAATGCACTCGTGTAATCCTAAAAGACACAGGTGTGTATTTTGGGCGAGATCAAGCCTCCGTGGACAGGGGCTGTACAGTGTTGATCCTCCCCGCTCTGTGACAAGATGAAAGAAACAAATAACATCAGTCACAGAGCAGCTATCACGGGCACTGTGAAGTGGAAATCGCAGGAAAGAGCCTGGTCCAAAGTAAAAAGCCTGTTTTTGTTATTTCCTTACGTTCTCTTTGAGATGCTGTTAACAGATGCAGACGTTGCCTTTCTGTAAGCTTCCTTCCAAATCAAAAAGGCACTTGAAAGCCTTGTTTTGATGTTTCATGCAGACATATTTGTCTTTGATCTGTTTGATAAATTCTACATTGTGAGAGGAAACTGTCACAATCCAAATAATGATTCACAAAAAATACAAAATTAAAAAAACAGACGGCACGAAAATTGCGCATTTGAGAGCAGCCGCTTTGAACTAAGTGTGGGCCTGGAATGTAGAGCGAGCTTCTAATGGCAGCAGCAGGAACCTCGTGCTCATGCCGGCCCGCGTTCTACATAAACACACTAACTCGCTAACGCCGTCGAAGAATAGGAGCGCACTCACAAAAATTCAACATACAAACAATATGCCTAATCACAGATTAGATTCAGATTTGAGAGTTTCAAACAGGACTGTTCATGAATACTTAGTGACTCCAAGATGCCATGGCTGATTGGTAGCATGACTGCAGGGTGGAGGCCTGTATCCGTCTCTACTTAATTAACAGGGTAAATAAAACAGGCTTGTGAAAATAGGGGTTAAGATTCTATCAGTGGAATTACTCAGCCATGAGACCACAGGAAGAGAGTTCGTCGCAAGCTTACGGTGATTTCACCAAATAATTAGTCTCAGCTAAGGCCTTCTACACACAAAGATTACTGCCTCAGTGCACACACAGCTTGCTCAACTCGCCACTGCAGCAGCCATCCAAATACCAGTCAACTAAATGGAAAGTGTGAAAAAAGTACTGCGGGGGATGTGTTTGATATTGTGTTTGCCAGCCATGATAAGCCCACAGATAAGGTGAGGTGTGCCTGTGTTACTATTTCCAACCCACATTGACCATCATCGACCTACCTGCAGGTGATG